GTTCTTGTCAGCCTGAGTTTAAACTTTTTTTGTCTTTGCCTCTCGGCAGGAAGTCGTCCTGCAAACTGGATCTTTCGGACCTTCACTCGTTGGAAGGATCAACTTAGCCTCAAACTTACCTGGGGATTCAAACTGGAGGTTTGGATCCATTTTCCCAGAGAGGACGTTGAGTTTACACACTGAGCAAGGGAATCATCTCCACTACGACCCGTTCAAGTACCGCAGGAAATCTGAGTGGCAGTCAGTTTCTCCGTTCACCTACAACCGACCGTGTTCTGGGTAAACCCTGTTCCGCCCTCCGCCGAATCTGACTAACACTGGAACTACAGCACACAGATTGGAGTCAAAGATTCTTTACTTCTCTGGAAACGTGAGTCAGCAACCAGATCCTCTTCTCCAAATCCACATGTGAAATTTCCCACTGAGCCTGAACTAATCGCTGTGTCTTCCCTTCACCTTCCAGTTCCGGCTGAGCAGAGTTCAGACCAACACTGCACCGTGCTTTATTTCTTCAATAAAACCTGTTAAACCTTTTCCCCTGGTCTCCCTGAATTGGTTTCTCTGCATGTGGGTCCGAGCTTTAGATAAAATCATGACACTGCTGCAGTTTGAATGTGTGAAACAGGAATCACTTTTCAAAATAAGCAGAACTTCATTTATTTGTATTGGACAGGCTGTATTTCTAGGGAATTTTCAGGGTCGGTTTTAATCATACCAACACAAAGCTTTTACTTTTGACCTATTTACAGCAAAGAAGCTCTTCTTGTTCTCAGTAGCATCAATAAGGTATTCTGCCCACATATAATAAAACCAGAAGTTTAAATGTCACCAATCCTTTACCAAAAACAACTAAGATGCTCTCATGATGATGATAAGAATGATGAAGGGCTGCCGTGGCAAGTCTTTGCAGGTCGATCACAGGCCATTAGGATATACTAGGCAGAGCCTGGGGCCCCAAGTTCCAGGAGGCACCATTAAACTGTGTTTACATGTATGGTTAAAACTATTCCTTATTTGTGCACATTAATTATATTTTTGATTTAAAAAAAAACAACTAAAATGCCATCAGAACGCTGATAATATTAAGTGTG